GCCAATTGGTTGCCAGAAATTGAATGAATGTTCACCTAGATACATTCGGGTCCACGATACATCAAACTAAATAGATATCTGATGAAAATAAAGTTGTTAAATTCTTGCCCTTTTTACCTGCAGATATAGGTTTATTTTTGCTTTTTGATATACAGGGTGTGTCCAGGAAGTTTTGTCAATCTTGATTGAACCATTTCCATAAAACCGCTTCCTACTGAACTCTCGTTATATTACATAAATAAGTAAGAATGAGCTCAAAGTTTTAATCTTAATTTATGAAATAATAAAAGTTTATTGACGTCCTATACCATAATATACCCTATCTGTAAATCATTGGCGTACGGATGAAGTTGAAACCAATAAGGTTTATAAAGGAAAAATTAAAGGAAGATGCATTTTCTATTTAAATGAAACCTGGCTAAATGAAAATCATACCGTTTCAAAAGCATGGGTAAATAAAAATATTACAAGTTCTCGACAAGCCTTTCTATGTAATTATCATAGTTTCGGTCTTGGATTCTTCGATTGTTTTGGCCTATGTAATATCGTTGACATTCTGCACAAGGAATTTGATAAATTCTGTGTTGTTAGTTTGGGATGTTCTCTTTGGCAGATCAGACAAGAGATGAATGTTTTTGGAGCGAGAAAAATTGAAAATTTTACCGATTTTGTCAGTGACAGCCTTGGTATAATGTGTTAATGGTTGTACTGACATGATTTTCACTGTAACCGTTTTGGACGAGAGCTTATTTTAAAGAAGGAAGTTCTGCGGATCTATTTGAATCGTCGCAAAAGCGTATTGATCTAGAAACAAGAGTATTAATGAAAAAATCAATTTGTGAAGATGGGTGAAGAGAACTGTTTTCGGTAAAGAGTACAATGGAAACCTAGGGATTGGTTTTTCTTTATGAGGAGTTCGAGGAACGTTAAGGATGAATCGTTTCTACCTCCATCAAGAGCTAGATACTATGATATATACCATTCAAATGAGTTTAAAAGATACCAAATAATTCTTCCGTTTGACCAAATGACGAATGGGCCGCCAACATGTAGGTTTGAATATGTGTGAAGATAGCTCTCGAGTCCCGAAGTCTTCCATAACTATATTGGAATTACTAGAGAGAACATAGAGTCCATTCGGGCATCATTGACTTGTCTGGAGAATTTATTTTGGACTATTAAATACGTGTAGGACAAACAATGTTTAATTAGAGATAAGTGTCTTGCTAGATATTGTGATATTATTATAGTTTCCTGAATGAATTTCCCAATCTGTAGACCTTGGCCTAGTGAGCCTTTGGTCTCTGTTGGTTTGCCTATCTGTATCATCCAGAATTGTTGAGCCCGGAAAGCGTGTTTATCAGTTCTCTAAGACTTTCCTCTTTGGTGTCCGTAAATTTTCCATTAGCTTTCTTTAGGAAACCTACTTTTTTGCTTGTAGCACCAACCTTTGTCAGGACTTTATGGATTCGAGAACATGCCGGGATATCTGTAATTTCCTCGCAAAACTCTCTCCATGAATTCCTTTTCTTCTTCTTCGTCAGATGCAAATCCACTAATGGATGTTAGCATCACATTTTCCATTAATTCTCTATTTCTTGCAATATGTATCAGAGATTGTATGTCGTTAATCCCTGTCCATTGCCTTATGTTTCGGAGCCAGGACATTTTCTTGCGTCCCATTCCTCTCTTGCCTTCAATTTGACCCTCGATTATAAGTTGGAGGAACTTTTATTTTTCATTTCGCATGATGTGACCTAGATACGCCGTTTTCCTTTTTTGATGGTTTCAAAAAGTTGTCGTTCTTGGTTTATTCTTTTAAGGACATCTATATTTGTGATTTTTGCTGTCCATGGTATTTTTAGGATACGGCGATAAAGCCACATTTCGAAAGCTTCCAATCTGTTTATATCCCTCGTTTTGAGTGTCCGTTTTGAAGCTTCGGACTTCCGACCTTTATCCTCTTTAAGCCGTTGTCTCACCAGACTGTATTACTGCCCGTACTGTTCCGTGTTTTTTCTGGACAGTTTTCCTTGTAAGCCGCCATAATATCTTCGCTTATCGTTTCTGCCGCTGAATCTATAACCCTGATTTTTACTGAGGGACTCCTTATATCCTACCCAGTTTGTATCTCTAGGATTTCTATATTTAATTTCCGATGGAAAAATATCAAGGTCAAATCGTATTTGTCTATGATCCGAACATGAGGGTTCGTCAGACACAACGTAAATTGTGATTAGTTTCCTGAGATGTTTAAGATTTTCAAAGCTTGTAAACTATTAGTTCCAACATCAAACATAAATATGATTTTAAGGGATCCAATTGCTAAAACAAAATAATATATATTCTAGGTTTTTCGCCTCTCGATTTGAATTAACAGTAAAACATCACCACAAACCGCTCATTGTAAAAAGTTTTAACATTCTGCTGTTATCGCTTGGGTAATTTAAAAGCTTTCCTAACTAGATTAATTAATAATTATGGAAAACTGAAAGCTTAATAATTAATTATTAGTTTGTTGTTACAAACCCTAACGGGAATATTTGTGCATCAATTAATATAGAAAATTTTGTTAAAGAATGTTTGATGCATTCAGTTAAATGCATTTCGAATTTAATTTTAATTGCGAAGTTTTATTATGACCGTGTTTATTGTAAATACACTGCGCGTGTATTTACGTAAGAGGTCACCTCAAATTTTTGCCATTTTTTAATTTTTACGAATCATACCACAAAGTGGTTGTCATTAGATGTTTGTGTAATGTTTAAGAATATGTTCTAAAGCAGTATGCATTATTTTTTAAATAAAAAATGTCAACAAATAACTTCTTCCAAAATGATTTTATTGAAAAATTAAAAAAAATTACACTCCTTATTCGATTTGGCATTGAATTGATTAAATTCTGAATGTCGTTTTGAGGAAAAGCTCCCCATTCTTCCATGAGCACCAACCGAAGCTGCTCACGATTTATTGGAACAGGTATTCTGTTTCTTACCCTTCGTTTGGGTTGGTCCCAAACATGTTTGGGACACCGACAGTTTCCAGATATTGCGTTACCATCTTGGCTACGTGTGGCCGCGCTTTGTCTTGCCTAAAAATAAAGATTTTGCCTACAAATCCAGCAAGAGGCATTACATGCTCGTCTAGAATTTCGGTAATGTATCGGTGTGCATTCAACGCTCCTCTATCAATAAATACGAGATCAGTACGGCCCTCGAATGAAATGACTGCCCAAAACATTACCGACTCTCCTCCAAAAGCAACACGTACTGTCAAACACAAGCAGCATATCGTTCCTCACGTCTTCTGTATGTTTTGATGCGACCATCTAAGCCATAAGGAACCATCCTGGATTCATCACTAAACAAAACATTTTTCCAATCTTCTATCGTCCAATGCTCTTGGTCTCTAGCAAACTGTAGTCGCCGTTGTCGATGTGCTGCTGTTACAAAGGTCCTGTTGTTGGACAGCGAGCCCTTAGACCAAATTCCCTCAAGCTTCTTCTCACGGTGGAAGTGCTTAAAGTCCACCCGTGAGCATTTTGAAAACTGTTGTACAAAAAGGGAGTACATATGTGGGAAATTATTAATATAATTTCTGTGTATGTGGACTGTATTATATAGGGCTGGTTCAATAAAATTAGGATAAGTAGTAAAAGGTATACAGACAATAGCAAATTAAGTTTATAGAAAGTCTTACCAATATTTTTTCTGCTTTACACTCTCACGGTTGTTTCCGGTCTTCACTCGTGGTTATTCTTCACCCGCGAAATCTGTCCGATGCACTGGTTTCTGAACACGTGTTTCGCAAATATATTACGATATAGAGCACACTTTGTCTGCACACGATTTAATACAGCATTTTCGATATTTCTCGCGTAACTAAAGCGGGAAAGAGGTAATTACGATAGAAAAACAGCCAAGATAGATGCTGTTCTTCTTGATAAGCGAAGAGAGAGAGAGATCAAGAGAGAGAACGTCTGGCTCTAGTGATGGCCAAACTAAGAGAGTGAGAGAATGGTCTGTCCTTAGCGACGGACGACCATCAAGAGAGTGAGTTTCTTCTTTGCTATCTTAGAACTGTCTGTATTTCGTAAGGGAGGGGGTTGAACTATAAGTAGGAAGGGTTATTAAGGGTTGGACTAAGATAATTATTGTAAAATTGTGATATTAGGATAGTTAATAATACAGCGAAAAAAGTCATGGTTTTTCGCATGTGAGAAAATTGAACAACGGTTTTGGATTGATCTAGCCCGTAAAGAACCGATTTTGCATAGAAGTGCACCATAATAATATACAAAAGAGGAGATACCTTGGAGTGATTTAACCTCAGAGGAATCACGCTTCTAAATGTAGCGTATAAAATATCTTCCACAATACTATGCCACCGTATGGCACCATACGTGCATTATGTCTGGTTCAATATATAACAAATCACTCACAAGTCCAAATCCTGTGCTGATGATTTAAATATTGTTTGGAGAATGGAAAACGCTGTACGAGAGACGAATGAGATGGATTGATGATGTAGAAGAAAACCTACAGATTCTAAGGGTTAGAAGATGGAGGGAAGTTGCCAGAAAATCGACAGGAGTTGTGTCTTCTTTGTGAACAGGCCAAGATCCACAAAGGATTGTCGAGCCACTTATGATGATGAAATATTTACCACTTTTATATCATTATATCATTGAATGATGGTCCAATTAATTTGCACCAGACATAAATTTTTCTTTTTGTTTATTTTATAATTCTTGTAGAAATTGTTAGATATTGTTGATTAATTGGCAAAGTGAATTAATTGATAGTTGAAGTGAACTATATTCGTACTCGTACTTTAGATTGTTCCTTTTAATATATACTAGAGTGTACTTGTTTACTCGTAAATTAAGATCATAACACATATAATGTCTGAAATTGTTAAGAAAGCAACCGTAAAATTTTAGTATTAAAAACACTGATCCAGCTTATAATCTTTTAACTTATTCCATAATTTTGTTCCAGGTGATAATTACTTCAGTAACCACGGCGAAAGACAGCGTACCGCCTCCATCACACCCGCCTGCAGCTTATAGGTACCAACAGTATCCCGGCTATTCCTATTCATACCCTCCTCACTCGTACCCCTATCCAACACCACCGCCTAACTCGCCTTATTCACATCACGACATGTGCTATTCGCCCAATCCTTATGTCCACCATAAATACCCCATAAGAAGATACCTCACACAGTACTATCCACCCCCCAATCCGCCGGAGATCTATCAAGTGCCGCCTAGTGGTCCTTCATCACAAAACCAACAGGTGAGTAAATACTAATATAATATTTTTATAGATAGTTTATTCGTCTTCCGGGTTTGGACCGTGTCATTTGTGAGTGACCCAAAAGTGGGTTCATCTCCAAGAGATTCTAAGGGTTAGAAGATGGAGGGAAGTTGCCAGAAGAGTGGGTTCATCTCCAAGAGATGAACCCACTTTTGGGTCACTCACAAATGACACGGTCCAAACCCGAAGACGAATAAACTATAATTCTGACTCTGGCCGTGGAAGCCTACAATTGCATTTTTATAGATAGTTGTTCGGGTAACAATTAAACTGTAATATTTCTGTAACATCAGTCTTCAAGTTCTAAGAAGATGCAAGCCTAGGTAAAGAACGTTCAAATAAAAATTTTAAATATCAGGATGAGAAGGGATTTAAATATAAGTCATCAATATCAGTGTGTCGTGCCTGTCCTTACATATGGCACAGAGGCACAGCCTAACAAGGACATCTACACGAAAAGTACAAGTGACGCAACGTAGAATGGAAAGATCATTGTTAGGCATAACGTTGCGAAATAGGGTAAGAAACGAAGAAATCCGTAGAAAAAGTGGTGTGGAAGACATTATAAAACACATAGCCAAAATTAAATGGAGGTGGGCAGGACACGTCGCTAGAATGAAGGATAATAAGTGGACCAAAAAAATCTTGGAGTGGAGACCGAGAACGGATAGACGAAACCCGGGAAGACCACCACAAGATGGACTGACGACATAAAGAGGATTTGTACCAAGAGCAGCGCAAGATAGATCAGAATGGAGGTGTTTCGACGAGGTCTATGTTCAGCGGTGGACGACTATGATGTACTGATGATGATGATGATGAAGGATGAGAAGACATTTATAGCGTAATTGATTAAAAAATTCAATCCTGAAGATTGTTGCTATTAATTAGGTTGAGTTTTTTTTATTTGTTTATTAAAAAGTTGATTTTTGCTATATCTGTTAAAAATGATCCTAGAACAATTGTTCCTGTTTAATTTGTGAAAAATTATAAGAAAACGAATCTCCAAACAGAATAGTAAAATATTTATTCGTCCCAAAGGTTAAAAAATATTATAAATAAATTAAATAATTTTTCAACGGGAATTTTGGGAAGGGGCGTTACGGTGTATGATTAGTGTGACCAACTAGCTCGAAAAATCCGGGATATGGCCCAAATTACGAAGTCGTGTCCCGGCGTCCCGGACAAGGCTTCCAGGCCATCCGAATTTTTAACTTCTTGGTAAAATACTTTTTTGAAATTTTAAATACGTTATTCTTGTAAGAATTCACATCAAATTGAATTGTTGGGTCCAAAAAATATCTAATGTCTAGAAAATATAGAGTGTAATACTAATACCACATCCAAAACGCATGCATTTTATCATGGTGTTGTTATAGGAAAACTGAAACTGGGCACTTTTTTTCGCTTCTTAATTTGAATTATCCTCTTCCAAAAATATTATTTAAAAAAGACAACAATTTATGGATTGTATACACATCAATCATGCCGACCGAGATGTGCCGCATTCAACGATGTAATGATTGGTGATTGCTGATAAATGTTTTTTTTTTCGGTTTTGTCAACTATTCTAAATAGGTATTTTAAATAAACTTCTTGATTTCATTCGCGCTATATTCTTGAAGAATAAATAATTCATTTCCAAACCGTTACGTGCTTTGAACCAACACCAAATCTGCTGCGTTGCAATATGATTTTATGTAAACATTTATTTTATGTCACTAATCGGTTTGAACACTCAAATAGATTTGTGATCATCTACAAAGGTAGAAGCATTGTTTAGTTGACTTTACATTTTTCATTCCATTCTATTGTTGATATGGAGCCAGAATAAGAAAGTGAAAAGAGAAAACGCTATTGCACTTTTAATAAAACATTGCAAGAATTCCCATTTTGGAAAAAGAAAGTAACAATGACGTAAAATGTGATACTTGTAGATCCGAATTTTCGATCGCCCACAGCGGTAGAGCAGATGTAGTGAGACATCAAAAGTGAAAAACACCAAAGCGGTATTAGCTCCGCGGCAAGCAGCAAAAAATTGACTGAGTTTTTTAAGGCAACAGCAACATCGAGCAATATTGATTTATAGACAACAACTCGGAAAGGTGTTTGAGCGTAGCATTTTTTTTACACCGAAGACACCGAAGTGTACTTACATTAAAATCTGGTCAGTAAGACTAATTATCATTTGTTAACTAGCATTAAATTTGGCATGCATACTCGCACAACACTTTGCTTTGATTTTCACTCACTCACTATACCAGTTCAAAAGGCTTTGTCCTTTTGAACCTTCTCTCTAGGTTCGTATTGTCGAGGAGCTGGATAGCCTCGGCGTTTACATGATGATGGAGTCGTTGTTCATGGCTCCCTGCAAATTTCTTGATTATCTGATTGACGTCTTCCATCTTGAGGTCCCGGTGAAGATCGTTGTTCCTAACGTACCAAGGCGCATCTACGATGTTCCTCAGCACTTTATTCTGGAATACCTGGATTACTTTGATGTTACTAGGGCTTGGCACAGCCCCAGAGTTGGCAGCCATAGGTCTATACTGGCCTCAGTATTTGTTTATAGATTAGGAGTTTATTATTTATGGATAGAGAGGAATGCCTTCCCATCAACCAATACATTTTCTTGTAGCGGATGCCTAGTTCTTCTCTTTTCTTCTTCACGTGAGCTTTCCAGCGAAGCTTCGCATTAAGAGTGATCCCCAAGTACTTTGCTGATGTTGCAATAAGCACTTGGACATCATTTATTCTAATTGGAATATTCAAATTGATGATCTGGAATTAGTTTCTTTTCTTCAATTATTGGTAGGATTCTTTTCAGGAGGAGTTTTTCAAACACCTTGGACATTACAGGTAGGAGTGATATTGGTGTATATGATGTCACCTCATTGGGGGGTTCCCCAGGCTTTGGTATCATGACCACCTCAACTATCTTCCATAAATCTGGAACATATTGTAGTCTAAAGGCAGCATTTATTAAGTTTGTTAATTTTACGATAGCTTTTCTTGGTAGATTTTTTAGAAGTCTTCCGGTAATGAGGTCATCACCTGGTACTTTATTTGGGTCGATTTGTCCTTTAATTAACTCAGCTACTTCTTTTGCGGAAGTTGACTGGATCTTCTCATCTATTTGCTCTGGTTCGGGCCAATCCTGGTCATCGTCTTGGTCATCTTGCAACGTAAATGTGTTCACTAGATGAGTGGCAAATCTCTCTGCCTTCTGCTGATTATTTCTGGCCCAACTACCGTCTTCCAGTTTTATTGGAGGAGAATGTAATATTGGCCTTTTAATTCTTTTTGTAGCTTTCCAAAGCGAGTACTCTGTGCTACTGTCGTTTGTTAGCTCTTCCAGATAATATTTAATAGCTTCATTCTTAATTTTCTGAATTTCTCTTGCTGGCTGGCATTGTTTAGGTTAGTTTTGTCCCGAGGGGCTCTCGTTTGCTGCCATTTTCTTCTTAGTTTTCTTTTTTCTTTTGAGCGTAGCATATGATTAAAGAAAATGAAAACTTTTGCTCAGCTGATTATTGTGCAGTGTTAAAAAACATTTACGCCATTATATTTAAAAACATACACGCCAAAAGCCTTAAAAAAATTCAATTAATGTAAATCGATCTTTTTCGTCTAAAACTAATTAATATAATAAATTTATTTCAAATTATCACTTTTGTCACATTGATTCGCACATTAATGTATGTGTTATAGATAACATAACGATACTAGATTCTAATTTTATCACATATAACTTATTTTTAGGAATAATCCAAATCTGTCTGATTACCATATCTTCATAGACATAAAAATATGATCTGAAAATAATTAAAACAAATTTGGCGAAATGTAATTTAACACATTTCTCACAAACCACTTTAATAAAAAATTTTTAGTATCTAAATCACTTGGACCACGTGGAAATCTGATTTCCTGGAATATTACACAACAATCCACAATATTTCATTAATAATCACGACGAGGAAGATTCGTTATTTCATTACTTAAAATAGGTTCATATTTACAATCGTTACTCGTTTGTTAGTCTAGTTTGGCGACAGGCGATACTCGTATTACGTTGACACTTTTTTGTGTTTGAATTATATATTTTGTTTAAAAGTAGGTGAAAATTAAGTGCGGTAAGTCATTTGAAAACTTTAAATTTTTATCGTTAGAATTAATGCATATTAGGAACTTTTATATTTTTTATAATAAGCAACTCTTTAAAACGTAATAAAATCTCCAGAAAATGGACTTAATATAGCGCCGTATTGGTTCTTTTTTATATGTCATTATTATGACGTCGTCGGCGTAACATACTATCTGTATTTCCTCTTTTATCATTCTATATCCTTTTGTTTTTTGACTTTCTTTGTGATTTCATCCATTATCACATTAAAAATTTATGGGCTTAGCGAATCTCCTTGTCAAATACCTGTTTCTTATAGGTTGCGAGAGTTTTCTTCGGACCTTACCATCACTATGCTGGCTTTCGTTTCATCATCGTAATGTTTAAGAATATATTCTAAAGAATTTATCAAATTCTGGATGTTGTATTGAGGAAAAGCTTCCAATTTTTCCATAAGTGCTAATCGAAGCTGATCACTATTTATTGGAGCAGGTATTCTGTTTCTTACTCTTTGTTTGGATTCAAATCTGGTCTTGGAGCCGGCAATTCATTTTTGGCACACTGACGGTTTCCAGGTATTGCGTTACCATTTTTGCTACGTGTGGCCGCGCGTTGTCTTGCATGAAAATAAAGTTTTCGTCCAGAAACCCAGCAAAAGGCATTGCATGCTAATTTAGAATTTCGGTAATGTATCGATGAACATTCAACGCTCCTCTATTAATAAACACGAGATCAGTACGGCCTTCGAATGAAGCGCCTACCAAAACATTACAGAGCCTCCTCCAACGCATCATATCGTTCTCCACGTCTTCTGTACGTTTTGATGCGACCGTCTGAGACATAAAAATACATT